TAAAACATGTTCCAAACATGTTCCAAAGCACCAACCAGATATCAACACCTCGATTTAATCTGAACAAATATGGAAAAAAACATGGAACACACATCAATTTGATATGTACGCCTTTAAGAATGACATCCAGTTCATGGATTGTGTGGATACGTCCTGAGACGAGGAACTGTGAGCTTGATGACGATGACCCACACAAGAAACTGCCAATTTAAGGCCAGTTTAAACATGGAGTGCAATCATTCTGAAATAGATAGAATTTGGGATATTCGAAAATAATCCCATCTAAGCGAGGATCGTTTGAAATGTCCATATTCTATCTACTCCAGGATGACTATCGTAGATGAGTTTACCCGCCCGTCAACCAGTGATCAACATGAATCCCATCGAATATTAAACACCTTCATTGTATGGTCACAAATATGTGGCTGGTTGGTGGTTGAGCCCTACCCGGTAGTATACCTACCCCTCTGAAAAATATGAGTTAGTCAAGTTAGTCAAATGGGATGATTGTTCCCAACTGAATGGAAAGTCATAATCCATTCATGTTCCAGGTGATTTTCCATAGCTATGTTAGTTTACCAGAGGGTATTTCCCATGGTTTTCCCCATTTATGGTGGATTTTCCCATGGTTTACTGCCAACCCCTATGAAACCAGGCTTTCTTGGGGCTATTTGTCACGGGAATGGGACGAACCCAACTCCTGTCACAGCTGGCACGCAGCAGCACATGCTACGCAGTTTGAGCCGGTTCGCGCCAGTCCAAAGTTCTGGGGTGGTTGAAACGGTGGTGAGTAAGTGGAGTTATCACTCAGTCGTTGAACCCTGATTAATAATGAAATTATGTGGTAAACATTGGTATGCCATAAACCTATATAAACCTACCATTTGGGGATGGCTAAAATCCAAACCATTTATGATGATTTTGGGGATGGTTTATGGCATTGGGTTTACCACATGTTCATATGAAATAGTATACAATTGGGATTCAACATCCCTAAACTGATGGATTTATGGATATCTAGCCATCATTCATGGGGGATATCGGATATCCAATCTTGGATACGCATTTTTTTTATCGAAATTCTTAGCTGAACGTAGATCATCCCATATCAACTCACAATCCTTCTGCACTTATGGGATGAACCAGCAAAGTTACATGCCTGTGGGATCAGCAAGAAGATAATCAACCTGGCCAATTTCATCGGGACCAATACGGTGGGCAAAAAAAACCAACCACTTTAATGTGAGATAACATCATTCATGGGATGAACCAGCAAAATGTATAGGACAACCACTATCATTTTATAGGATATGATATGATATGATATAGGAGCCACAACAATTCACCAGGACAGAGGAGAACAAGAAACATGGCACACCGCCATGGTCACGTTACATGGAACTGGCATGTCATCAATGAGATCATCATGGCTGAATCCCTATGGGTTTGTCTGAAAATAGTGTACCCCTACACCCATTGGTTAATGATCATTATCCCTACTAAATGGCTATAATTGGGAATATACCCTATTTTCAGACAAACCCCTATGGCATCAGCGCCGGTCCAAACCTCTTTTCCTAGGCCGCCTGGCCGGCGCAACCCGGTTGCGCGATGTGAACCGAGCGCAAAGCGGAGACACGCCATCGCTGGGAACGACGCCATCGCCAGACGCGAACTGGGCGCCGTTTGTTGAGCGGCGCCGTTGGTCCACCATCCGTGGGCATCCGCGTCGTTCCATGAAACGTTGGGGAGTTCAAAGGGGGAAAAGCCAAGAGATCTGCCAGGCCCGGCGGTGATTTCTACATATTTGTAGAATCGTTTAAATTGGGTGATTACCCTCTGGTAAACTAACATAGCTATTGAAAATGGTCATTTATAGTGGATTTACCCACTAAAAATGGTGATTTTCATTGATTTTCCATAGCTATGTTAAATTACCAGAGGGTATGGATGATTCAATCATTGAATGTCATCCCCTTTTTTGGTTTGTGTTTGTTGATGCAAAGACCGAAAACTTGCCAAGACAGATTCAACTTCGAAGAAAATCCGATCAGGTCAGATCAGGTCCCCTTTTTCCGGGCAAATCTTCTCGCAGATCTTGGCAGGATCAACCACTTGCTACAGTTTGTCAAACGGCTGGGCTTTTTTTCCATCGAAATTCACACAAGTCGCGCCAGTGGGGCAGTTCGCAGGTGGGTGACAATCGGAAAAGCAAGAAATTCAGAAACCACAAAGTTACAATTTACAAACGCCCCAAAAGTCAAGACGAAACCTCCGGCTTTGGAATTCATTATGAATCCATGAAATATGGCTATAGTTAGCTCGTAGGCTCCTTCAAGTCCTTCCATGATGGAACCCAGCTGCTCATCTCTAAATGTCCACCAGCTTACCATGGGTCAACCTTGATTTGACTATATTAATCTCCGTTATTATACATGCAATGCATGAAGAAATTCAAAAGACATGAACGGACTGTACCTAAATGTTCTAAGCTTTTTTGCGCAACAACAGGTGTCCTCCACCGGCCGAAAATTCCAGTGGCACGACATAAGGCCGATGTGCCCGAGCCGTCGGTTAGACACGTGCAGGGATGAATTCGAGGACTTGTCACATTGATGAGGACAGGGACCCGCAAGCAGCCCAAGATGCCCAGGAACATCGCTTGAATCAAACAATAGATGTCAATAACAATGATCATCTGGTTGGTTAATATACCTGGATAATAATGGTTAATATTAATGGTTATTGTATGGTTAATGATGGTTAATAATAATCTGGTTGGTGGTGCAATAACCATCTTGAAAAAATATGAGTTCGTCAATGGGAAGGATGACATCCCATACATTATGGAAAATAATCCAAATGTTCCAAACCACCAACCAGTCATGGATGTTAATGATAATAGATGGATAATAGATGATAATGGATGTCTATTGTTTGATGATAATAGATGATAATGGATGTGCCATAACGCCATGTTGACATGTTTCAAATTAAAGAAAGGGGTGGCATTTTGTGCCTCTTTGGAGCCACAACCATCACTTGAAATCCTTCAGGATTTTCCATACAAGTTCAAGATAGTTCAAGACGGTGCACAGAAATTATCACTCCAACTTTTCATGTAGATACATGTAGATCTTGGACCCTTGGACCCCAGAAAAAGACTTCAATGTTTCTACTAGTAATCAATGCCAAAAGCACTGCTGCAAACTCTCCTAAAATCAACTATAGAAAAATGCTATCCCCCTCCCCCTAGTATGTGAAATACACCAGTAGAAACCTTGTTTTAGTATTGGATCTTGGATCTATTGAGCTTTGGATCCAAAAATATGGGGGGGGCCCTGGGGGGGTATGAAAACCGTGATCTGGGGGTTGGGTTAATGGTAGACGGTCACCACACCACTATCAAAACAATGATTGGTAGAGGCCTGAAGAAAGAAAGGTGACAGCCTCGTCTGCTGACCTATAATATGGCACTGGGAAAAAAATCAACACATGTTCCGAACAAGAATGGCTGGTCAATAGGAGTTCCCAGTTCATGGTTTGTTATTTCCTGAGATTTGCTCCTAAGTGTCATGATTTTTTTCGAAGGGAGCTACAGATTTGCCAAAAATCCCGAACGAAAAATCCCATTCCGTGGATCTAATAACGAAATTTCCAATGTTGTCATGTCATTTTTTAATCATCAATACATCATCCACAATTCTTCGAAATCTCGTCTTCACCAGGCATTTTTTGGTTGACCCCTACCAGATCCGTTAACCCATTGTTAAACCATTAAATCACCATTAAATCACCATTAAATCACCATTAAATCACCATTAAATCACCATTTATAGTGGTTTTCTATCACCATAAGCCTGCCGGCGCCACGGCGCCACTTCAAACACAGGGCCTGCAGGCCACGTCAATCCCACAGGATGATCCCTGAAGTTGGCGATTTTTCGATCCCGATCCCTGGGATCCCGTTTTGGGACGAAGCTAACCACCTAACCATATAACTATTGGATAGTATTTTATCCCATAATTATCCCAATATATTCCAATATTGATATTGAAAATCTATGGATATTGATATTGGATATATATATATGGGATATTCCAATCTATGGATATATTCCAATGGGATAAATTGATAGATATTGGTATATCTATTGGAATTCCCTCTGGTGAATGACCAGGTGATATTCTAATGGGATAAATTGATATACCCTCTGGTTATGACTAACATAGCCATGGAAAATGGTTGATTTTCCAAGCTAGAAACCTCCATTTATTTGGGGGATTTTCCATGGCTATGTTAAATAACCAGGTGGTACTTAGCCAAAAAAAAAAAGGTACCAGAAGGGTTTTCTGAGGTTGGCAGCATATTGCTTTCACCAAGAAAATATGGTGATTTTCCAGAACATCAAGTTATGAAAATGGCTAAACCACGTTAATCCGATCAAGCTATCAAGTTGAAGAATAGCCATTTTGAAGAGTATGAGCAACCGTTTTTCTGGGTTATCAATGGAAATAAAATCAAGTTCCCTATCATTAGGCATCCTATGGCTATAAATGTGGATATGCCGTATGCCCCATTGATATATCACATGTTCATCACCCAAAGGAATGACGGAATGGCACCGGTGCTTAACAACGGGATGCGTTTGCGAATCGAATCGATCAAGATTTTGGTTTCTCGAAACATCACTTATTTATCAATTTGATAAATCTAGATACTTGATTTGGGATACATCTACTTGATCTATCAATCTTCAAGATTTTGATAATCTATCTTGTGAATGTCTTTTCAGATCTTCCCCAAGACTCTCAAGCCTCTAGACGCTCCTCCAACCTTAAAAAAGATCTGGCAAGAGAAATCTTGTAAAAATATATCACAATCATTCACAATCCCAGCTTCGGCAATCAACTGCCGGATGATTCCCCAGACGTTCTCCATCATCTACAGTACTACAGTGACAATTTTAAACCTATTGACACTACATGTTTTTTAGAAACCTCTCGTGCTCAAAAATTGCCAACCTCAGCATAAACTCATCCACCATACCACATTACAAACTACGGCGCAAACTTCTCATTTCGCATTTCCGCTACAAAGCGCCGCTATGCGTAGCCGCGTTGCGTACGCTGGCGGAGGATCACCCCTCGGCCGCGCGCTCACCGGTGAAGCAGCGCTGCATCTCCGCCAACGCACCGAAGAAGGCGCGTTTCGCCTGCGGCGGTTAATCCGCCGTTTTTTTTTCAGTGACCAATGGGGGATATGAATGGTGAATATCATGGTTTATGATTATATAATGAATGGTAAATATACCCATAGGATCCATGTATGGTATATTTACCTACATTTGGGTGATTTTTAGGGCGAATGTTGGAAAATATTCCATACATGGAGCATATGTGATAGTGGTTTATGATCGTTTATGATTATATGAATGATAGTTGAAAATGTTCATGACTATATTGTTATGGATGGTGAATATGACGATATATGACTAATACCATTATACTTATATATACCATTGAGATATCATTGATTTGGTGTCCAAAAATTATGTTCGTTGCTTTATACAGGCCATGATCTACGACAAAAAATATAGTGATGTTAGTTACAAAGCAACTTAAGTAACTTTGGGTCACTATCTTGTGGAAATATAATGGTATAAAATCATGTAGCATAATATGATGTGATTAGCTCATGAGTATATATTAAACCATCATACTGGAGATATAATGGATATAACGGTATGTATATACTGATACTTGTAGATAGACCTCTATCAATAGTATTATCCATAAGGTGCCCTTATGAAAAATGGAGTAATGAAATGGGATCTTACCAATATAGTCAACATTCCTGGGGTATATGAAACTTGAGGCCGGGGGTGGATGACGAAAGCTAGCGGGGTAGGAGAAAGAAGGAAGGGAAGAGGTGAGTTGCGGAGGGACTGTCATCATCGTGTCGCGGCATTGTTCGTCCCAACGAGGATGCAACAATGATATATTGATATATGATATATAACAATGATATATATGGGGGAGGGGGCAGGGGGGGGCCCTTTCGCGGGAAAAATCACGTGATGTCCTTGGGGAGCCCCGGAATACGTGCTAAAGCAAGAAGACTCTAGCGAGCTGACGCTAGCTTTCGTGATAATGACAATAATTGCCAATAATGATAAAATGTAATTGAATAACGATGATGATGATGATGATGATGATGATGATGATGATAAATGATGAATGATGAATGATGAATGATGAATGATGAATGATGAATGATGAATGATGAATGATGATGATGATGACGATGACGATGATGATGATGATGACGATGATGATGACGATGACGATGACGATGACGAGGACGATGACGAGGACGACGATGATGATGATGAGGATGATGATGATGATGATGATGATGATGATGATGATGATGATGATGACGAGGACGAGGACGAGGACGATGGAGAGGACGATGACGATGATGATGACGATGATGATGATGATGGTGATGATGGTGATGGTGGTGATGGTGGTGATGGTGGTGATGGTGGTGATGGTGGTGATGGTGGTGATGGTGGTGGTGGTGGGGGGGGGGGACCCCTTTCGCGTGAAAAATCACGTGATGTCCTTGAGCAGCCCCCCCAATACTTGCTAAAGCAAGAAGACTCCAGCTAGCTGACGCTAGCTTTCGTGACAAAAAATAACTGTCATCATCGATACATATTTTGATCCCGCAGAATCCCATGGCTTACGACCACCGACCGAGCAAGGCGTAGATCAATGTTGTTCAACATGGGGGTGTGGCGTATGGTCATCAGAGATGTGGGGTATAGTGAGTACAATAATGGGTTATAATGGGGTGTCGCTAACTGACAAGGGGGGTTAGCCAATAAAAAATGGTAGCTAGCGCTATGTTACTTGCAAAAATTGGGTGGTTGGGTTACATCTGAACCAATCCCATCGACCATATGGGAAAATCAACGATTTCGACTGGGCCATGTGGACACTACACCACGGTCGAAGCAAAGCTCAGGACGAGAAAAGGTTGCACTGACTAGAAGCATACAAAGACATACAAAAACTTTATATATATGTACATATATATATATATGTATATATATATATATGTGTGTATGTATATATATATATATATAAGTGTATAAATGTATATGTACATTATATATATATACTCGTATACGAATACAACCAGCAAATTTGTGTGACATCGGGTTACTCGTGGCACACCAGCTCCCTTTCCAGGATGGCAGGATGGCCGGACCGGCCTTCTGTCGTCGTTTCTTTTCCCCTGTGCGTTGCGTGCCGAAATGAAAACGGGGTCAGTTGGGGGTCAAATCCAAACTTGGCGAAGAACATGAACACCTGGTTGGTGGTTTTTCGCCTACCCCTCTAAAAAATGATGGACTTCGTCAGTTGGGATGGATGGACAAAATTCCATGGTTCCAAACCACCAACATGAACACCGTTAATGATATATTTTTTTGTATACTACCTTTGAAACCGGCACAGTGGCGAAACAGAACATCCAAGATTGCAGAACATTAGCATCCCCAATTCCTTGATGGATTGTGAGTAGTTTTCCCAAGTTTTTTGATGCAAAAACTCGGGCAGAAAACTGCACTTTTTGAACAAACCCATGTCACTTTTGTATGAAAAAACGAGAGGAAAATCCGCCAACCTAATGATTGGTTTTCATGGGGTAAAAACTGTTGATGGACTATGATAATCGCCAGTCTATAAAAGGAAGCACTGCGCCCTAAAATTACTGGTCAACTAACATTAATTTACCAATTATATAACTAGATATATTATATTCATGTATATTCTATCCCGATATGTTTCATGACTATGAGAATGATGCTTTTGCTGTTTATCATTATAATCATCAAGCAAGTGAGAATGTTCATGGTTACCCAAATATGCTACATACAATCTACTATACCCCTATAAATGTCGGTGAGATCATAGTGTTCTGACATGCCTCAAACATCCCTCCCAGTAAAACCACCGTAATCACCATGACCTGGAGCACAAAGATGACAGAATTGACACTCTTGACCACTGGAACAGCCCTGCGCCAGATTCCGATTTGCCAACGGATTGATCTAAGATAGGATTCCTAGGATTCTAAGGAAACGTTTCGCGGAAACAATCATTTATGCCAGAGCAGTTTTTCGATTTTTCCGGGTGGCCCTCGAGGGAAACCCTCTGCAAGCTGGGGATATATATATATAATAGGTTTGGGGCCAAAATCCGGAAGGAAAGTGCAAGGAAATCCACGAATACGAGGCCAATTTGGGTAGTTTTGCTACTTTGGCCACCAAATAAGAAACAAGAAAACTAGCTAGTTGGTGACTTAGCAGGGAATTGGACCAAAAAAAACTTGCGGAAACGTCATGAGATTTTGGGACTCAAACTGAGAATCACTTTCTTTCGGATCGCTTTCAACACGGATTGGGTGATCCTTTTTGGGCGTGTTCTCTTCAAATCTAGGAGGATCCACACCGTCACACATTCGTCGCCATGGCACAGTGGCACTATGGCACTTCAAAATCACAGGAGATAACTTTGATCCATCCTGGTAACCATCCTGGCATTGCGTAGAAAATCAAAGTATACTCATTCGAAGTCCCTACTCAAAAAACCATCATTAGGAGTCCCCCTAACCACCATTTATGGGGCTTGGTCTGCCAAGTTGTTCCCATTTCCGATTGCACTTAAGAGCTGCCTGGGATTGGAAGCCCTAGTTCTGGCTCCCGAAGCCCTAGTTCTGGCTCCCGATTTGTCTATCCAGTTGCATCAATGACTTACTGGGCAATATGGGGGATGCATGGGTGAAAAACTCATAGCTTATCATTCTCTAAGAAACATGGTATAATCATTCACATGGGTGAAAAACTATTAATGATCCATTCTCTATCTTACATGGTATTGTTGAAAATAGGGTGCCCCAAAAATCCATTTGAGGCTATACGCCATTTTTCAGACACCCCCATATACGCAATTTCCAGCATCCAAAATTCATCACCGTGGCATTACATCAACGGAGTCTGGCTTTGGATCAAAAACCTTGAAACCATGGTGATGCCAATAGCTGGCACGTGTAGGTCTACATTCCCAAACAAAATAAGAGAAAATTATTGGTGAATTCAAGCCCCATTGAATCCCATTGAATCCCCATTGAATCCTGTGCAAAAATTCCTCTCAAACCGCTGAATCACGTGTGGATGGTCCATGTTCCCTCTGGGCCCTTGTAATTTCGATGCTATCACCCTTTTCAAACACCCCTATATTTTCTATCTCTCGTTGGTCCGGAAGAATAAAAAAAACTCTATCCGATCTTATCCTTATTGTGCCCCCATTCACATCCATTGACATATTGCACTGATGATATGTCCACAAAGTATCATATTCAACCATTCACCACCACTCATAATCCCAGGGTTTCTTGTTGGTATTTGTTGCTATAACCACAACATAACAAGCAGTTCATGTTGCTTCCAAAAACCTCCCGCGTTCTTCCCGTCCGAAAATCATTCCCGTTAGAGTCCAACCCATCACAGCCACCGCCTTGGTTGTCCAGAACGCACAGGGCCTACAGAAGTGACAGGAGTCATGGGGATGTGTAGCTAACTGGTTGGTGGTTTCAACCCCTCTGAAAAATATGAAAGTCAGTTGGGAGTATTATTCCCAAAATATGGAAAAATAATCCAAATGTTCCAAACCACCAACCAGCTAATGACTTGTGAATATGGACTGCGAATGACTTGTGTAGCTAATGACTTAGATATCCTCTGGTTATGACGACCATGTCTCCTCTATTCTGATGGATTATCATTCGATCCTCATATGATAAATGGTAAAACATCTTATGGAAATGGTCCACTGATGATAAACACTCAATGATGTAGTTTTCAAGAATTGTGATTTTAACCACTTCGCTACGTTAACCAAAGGGTGTGTCTATAATCAACCTGAAGCCGATAGAATATGGAAATGTCAACAAA